GACTGGAAGTCGATGTGAGCGTGAACATCAAATGATGGCCCAACGAAGTAATAATAATTTTCGCTTATAAGTAGAGAAAAATTTGCCATCATTACAAATATGTCACTTCTAGATTATCTCATCAATAAATATTTTTATTGAAAGTTTTAAAGTTTTCGGCAAAAGGAAACATCCTTATGAACCATCAATTGGTGACATGAAAACTGCAAAACTAGCAAATTTTCCGCAGTTTACTTAGCATCATGCTTGTTTGGATTGGTGAAGAATTCGTGAAGTTCATGATATCCAATAAAATTCTTATTGTCACGTTATTATAATTACTTGTATTCTTGTTATTCATACTAATATTATTATTGCCATTACTGCTGACATAATTACTGGTAACGAAATGCCATTAAATATTTCATGGTTTTGAAGCAAAACTAAAATCTGAATAAGGCTTAATAAGGAAAACGAACCATTACTTTTGACTAGCTGCGAAATATTTAAGAGGATTCGAAAGTGAGCAAGTATTTGTTGCGTTATATTTAAAAAAACAATTATAAATGTGATCAAATTAAGTGGCAACCGAAGCTACTTTAAAGTTCCAACTGCTTCTATATATATATACGGTCTTCCCAGTTACCGAGCGGCTGAGAGGCCAGCTAGTTGAATCGCATCACAAAGCAGGAAATGGAGGATAAACGAAAAAAAACCAAGCTCAGATCATAATTGAAAACAAATGGAAAACAGGTGAGGTTGTTAAAAAAGAAGCTCCGTGAAGGATATAGGAAAGCACCATTGTATACCAAGACCAGCAGAAATGGGTGTACAGGGAGAGGGCCGGAATACAATTCAACGGGAGAATCAAGACAGAAAAGAAGATTGACCTCCGACCTGCTGCATATATATATATTGCATTTTTTTCCGTTTTTGCTTTACTGTTGCAAGAAAAAAGACGGATGGATTTAAATTGGAAAAGGATAAAGAATCTATAAAGATCAATAGTTCTCCTTCCTTCTTAATGGGATGGCTATGAATTTATGAAAAAGAAGAAAATACAAACCAGTTTTTCTTTTCAATTCCTCCAATAAAACTAAACCGTCAGTGTTCGGACAGCTACAAAAATTTTTCTTACAGAGCAGACCACCAAGACATTTTTAAAATTTTTAAAGAAAATCCAAATGAATAAAGAAAGAAATATATAGCCGATTAATTAATTGAGCCATAGTGATTGAAGAAGCTGTGTAAAATGTAAAGTTGTGAAAAAGCTGCTGTAACTTAAAAGATGAGTTTGAAGTAAGAATGAATTTCTTTGGTGTTCATGTATTCATGATTACTACAATGATGGATTATTTGTCATAGTAAGTACAACAAAAAGCCAGTAATGGGAATGAAAATCGTACAGAATTCGCTCTAATCTTGGCTGCCCTGAGGGGTTTAATCCCACCTTTTATTACTAGAAAAATCTAATGATGATGATAACATTGAATACAAAAAATAGTATCATTCATTTGCGGTTTCATAGTTTGAATGTAATCATTTTCTTCAAGCAGAGGTTTAGAAGTGGTGAACTGGTTGTAAGGGAAATCCCTTCACATCCTTTAGACTAGGCTAGATAAAGCAAAGAATATACAGCTTAGCTCACTCCAGCCAATCTATCATTTTTGCCCGCCTGCTCAGCTTAACCAAGTGCATTCGAATTTTGCTCTTACTTCTCCTATTTGAAGCCCATTTTTTCCAGATGGTATGCCACAAGCAAATAGGAAGAGAAATAAAAAATTTAGGCAGAAAACATTTTGGAATTAGATTATACAGAAATGTTTGGCCAGCGTTCAACATCATTTGCTATTAATTTCACGAAACGGTCACTCAGTCTGCCTGGTAAAATTTGAGATGTGTAACTTTTATGAACTAAATTGGGAGACAATTTATGAACTGTTGTTGAACATGAAAAGACATCCATTAAATATTTAAAATTATTAATGAAATAGGATTCACTGCATGAAGTCATGGAAGATAGCTAAAAGTATTTCTGATAGAAGAATATTAACTGAGAAAATGCTTCAGGATGCTCTAAAGAGATTTGCTTGACACTAAAGAAAGTCTAAGAAAAAAACCTACTTGGAATGTGTTACCATTACTATAAGAACATGTTGAAAAAACAAACAAACTTGAGAAGTGAAAGAAGGATGAACATTTGTATTCGCGAACAGAAATTGGTTCTTTCTTGCAGCGTTAGAATGAGTTTTCTGTTTAAATGTTCAGTTCAGTATTTTGAAAAAAGTGAAGAGTTAGCAGTGCTTGCTGCAAACGTCATTCGTTTGAGATGGAGTAAGAAGCTGTTATGTTCGAGCCAGAAATCAATAGATGAGAAAAGTAACAATACATCTGGGAGTAGTTTGCCGGAAAGAATTGTTTTTTACCTGTTTAATTACAATTGATCTGCTGTTTTAGGTATTTATCTTTGTTTTTTTTTTCTTCTCATTTTCTAGTTTTATTGCAAGAAAGAAAGCATGATGGTTCATTAGCATTTCTATTACAATTTTAATTATAGTTATTAAAGTTATTAAAGTTATTACTATAATTGCTAATATTATTTTCATTACGCTTATCGCAACTGTATACTTGCTTTAAGCGCTGTGATGTAGTAAGGATTATATACTTCAACAAGCGTTCATTATCACTAATTTTTGCTTAACTTGATACATATCTTCATATCAGTAATCCAATTATATGATTTCACTTGATTATTAATCTTATAGTCATTGATTTGGTTCTTTAAGCTACAGTTTAATTTTCATCTCATATTTTATAATACGAAATATTCTTGCAATCATTTCAATATGATTATTATTACAGGAACAGTTACGATAAGCAACAGTTATGACTATATTTATCATTCACGACTGCTATTAGTGTTAATTATTCTGGCACCATAGTATAAGTATTCTTAGCTCACAAAGTTAGCAGTTCTTGACACGTATTTAAATGACACGAAAAGAGTAGTAAATGTGTGAAAGCACTGATTTGATACTTGATAGAAACTAATAAAAAAAACAAGAAGTACTTCTTTAGAGAAAAAACTGTTCTCAAATCCATTGACCTATTTTTGGTTCTAAGCTTACTTAATACCAGATCATAGTTCAAAGCTGATTTATTTATCACGTTTTTCTTCGTTTTATATTTGCCCTCAATTTTTTGCATGTAAACAAAAAAAATGAAACGAAATGAACTGAAGTGCAAGGCAAAAGAGAAGTGCACAACCACCATTATTATTGTTCCCTCTCATAAATAGTTCTAGTGTGAGAACAAACTTACACTTAGCATCAAAACATGATTAAAATAAAAAAGTTTAATGAGCAGATGGATCTGAGAGAATATCCATTAGATGAATCATTTTTCAGATTAACCAAAAAATGACCTGTTCGGTTTCGTGTTATCTTCAAATGCACTCATATATACACATACAAATGAATACACGCGCACCACTATACACTTTTTTCCCACTCTAAAAGTTGAGGGAAAGAAATAGAGAGTTGACAGGAATATGCAAATTGGAGGAAAAAAATTGGTTGCAAGGCCGGATGAGAAAGAATGTGAGCCGTAATTGCCAATCGATGCGAGGGAAGCGCTACCTTCACGCTGCATTTCAGGTACCTCCTCGGGGTCCCCCGCCCCTTCGCGGAAATTTTACCATTGGTACCACTCGACTACTTGACAAGTGCATTTTGGCGTTATGCCACTCCATCATTTCCTCTTATCTCTTCCTATTCTCTCGTATGCCTCGGGAAATTTTATCCTACTTCGATTTTTTTGTTATCGAACAAAAAAAACCCAGCCTTCTGAAAACTTGCAAACATTTCCCCGTAGACATACAATTACAGACACATGCATTCAGGAATATGTTCATGAGAAAATGATGCCTTTTTTGAAACCCTCGAAGGTTAATTCGAAATGGCACGAGGTGGTGCAATATTCTGCAAACCTGTCCTTCTTTGTCTGTCCACTTGCACCCAAATTCTTATACTCAGGTCACAATATCTCTTACGTGAATTTTTTGTACATGCGCAGAGATATGCATTATAATTCTAGATAAATGAACACACGCTTGGCTCTGCAGCGTTCATTTTCGCTCGAAAGAAGTGGCTACTTCTCATTTACTTGTTCATCCACTGCCGTAATGGTTGTGCCCATGTAATTTTGACCATTTCTATGAGTTTAATCAATGATTCAATGCTATTGCTGTAAAATTTGAACACTTCAGGATAGCCATCACAATTTTTCCGCTACATCCTTTATGTTCTCGCGGTCACTTCAGTTAATTTTCAAAGTAATTTTCTTTAAATTTGTTTAACTTTCTAATCTAAGGAAGAAATTTTTGACAAAAATACTTATGTTTATCTAAAAGCTGAGTACACTGAAAGTAGGTATTTGTTACTTTTTCTTCAGCAATTTGTTGTCAATAGTTTTGTATTCATCTTCAAAGCTTCTTCTTTTGCTCAGCATCATTATTTATCAGAAAAAGCAGATATGAAAGAAATCACTGTAAACTCCAGTCAAATTTGTATCTCTCTGCACTCAAACTACTTTTTTGAAAAAAAAATCGTCAAGAACACCATTTCTTTCTAATTTAACCCAATTTTTTCTTGTGGAACATAATATGTAATATTGTCTCTGCTTTTTCTCAACTCAAAATCAAATTGATAATTGCTGAATTTTAATGATAGTAACGTAAAGTCTGCATTTACTTAAAAGAAAACTGACTGAATTGACGGATCCAGGAATTTCGTGAACTCAAATATGGTCATTCGACAAGTGAAGAAGAAAAGCTACTACATTTCTTGTGACATATGAAGTTACACAGCACATTAGTTGTACTTCTTACTAGCTTTGATTATTTTTATAAAACTATAATGGTATCTGAGATTAAATGAAATAAGGATGATTCTCTTTTCACAGTGATCATGATGACAGCTTGCATTTTTCAATAAAATCTCTACATTTTCTAGAAAAAAAAACTAAACCGTGTTTACGGATGCACCATTGGTAGCTCGAAATCCAGAAAGACCCATCAGTTCTGGTCTCATCTGATACTGCAGTAAGTTGTGATTCGTTGGAAATGATGAGAATAAGTCTGCAAATATTATTTTCATAATGTAGAAGCATATACATGATTCTTTAAATAACTTGCTATGAGTATAGGTTACTTTTAGTTTCTAACAACTTTGTCGTCTAGCAGCTTAAATTTTCGAAGGATATTACTTTAAAAATTTCTGTGACTGAAGCAACAAAAAGTATGCACTTCGGGAAATATGTTGAATTTTTCTTTTTAATTTCTCATTACTATATTCTGACTCTGCACTTGATTCATGTTTTCATTACTAGTTAAAGAAACATAATTTTAGTGACTGCCAGCATTTCGCTTATTTTGGTAAATTATTATCTGCTGTCTAAATTTTATCGTAGAAAATGAGGTGATATAAAAAATTCCTAATCAATGTCTGTGTGCAGAAAGCTAATTTGCAGGTCAAAAACATGAAAGAAACAAAAAATAAGGCGTTTTGACCGGAATTGTTAAAAGGAAAACTGGATGGTGGAGCCTCTATTCCGGTGGCTTGTTGCAGCGCTACTCCTAGTTGTCCCATTGGAGGCATTTGAGTTTGTTGAGCCGGTTGCGCACCTCCTGATTGCTGTGATGAGTTAGAAGGAGTTAAGCCACCAGATCCGGAACCCTCTTCTGACGAGCGGCTTTGACTTCGAGCTGTAACAATCCCATAATTGCTTCTTTGAACTTATCATTGGCGGTTTTTCTTCGCGCGTCTCTTTTTATTTCAGATGGCAGTATTGAGAAAACAAATTTTTTATTTTCTGACAGCATCAATTCGCAACTCATTTGATGTCTATGCAAAGATTTTTTGCTAAGTTGCAATACTGCCCGTTTCGGAGTTGCGCTGATAAGACTTACTATTATCAACGGTGGTTCCACTGGACTGTAGTGAAGTTTGTTGTTGCTGTGAAGAATACATCTTTGCTGAAGGGAGAAGAGCTTGTTGATTAACAATCGTGGCAAGATTTATTGCGCATTGAATATGCCTTGAGTCAGACGATGAACCCAATGCTGTAGAGGAAGAATCTGATGGCACTGTAGAGGTAGATGGCCTTGTTGACTCCTCCTGAGAGTACAGTGATGCTGAATCTAGAAGCATTAATTGTTTAGTGTTAAATTGAACACAACGATACATTTATGCAGAGTGATATTACTTTTCGGTTAGTAGCACTTTATTTACAGTTTAGAATTAATCATCAATACCTCTAATCTAAATACTTGAATGTATCATTCTTTAGTTCTTTTTTAAATTGAGAATTTTAATAATTCCATATGTTTCATATGCATCAAAATTTATCGCCTTTAAATCCTTTTGTAAAGTAAAGAAATTATTTTTTTCATTTAGTTAATAGGACTGCTACAGCTAACTGCAATCATCAACTAACGCATTATCAATAAACAGGTTTTCCTATTCTAAATAAAAATATGCATTCCATTACCTTTCTCCTACAGAGAAAAAAATGCGTACATAAGAGAATAATAATTAATTCTAATTATGATTAAATGAATAATTCGCTTCAGAAACGAATCGATTACAGACTTAAATTGATATTTGTATATTTGTCAAATAATTTGAATTATATAGAAAGTGGACCCGTTGTCGAAGATGAAATGAGATTCATCGACTATACTGAATAGCGTAACGACCGCTCTAGCTCTTGTTTGGCACCCAACTATAATCAGTTGGTTTTAACTCAAAAGTGGCAAAAATTTTCACTTATTCAAATTTGATAATAAATTTTTGTTCACTGTTGTTGAGTACCAAGTTGCGACCAAATCCTTGTTGAAACTGTATCGACTTAACCCGGATATCCTACTTTGAAGATATGTGGATTTCGTTATCTAAAACTTCAGAGACTGGATTTTTTTCAAAAATTTATATATATTAATATCATGCATTAAGAAAATTCAGTCGATATGAAAGTCATTAGAGGATTTCATCTATGTGAAAACTTGTGTTATCACAAAGGTTACTCGGATTAATTTTGATCGTCGAACAAATTAGATATTATTTTTGTTATGAAGTTATCTCATTATGGAATTCCAGTCTGTGAGACGCTGGTTTAGTCTTTAATTTTTAAGATTTTTTAGTTTAACTAGTCAATAGTTAAAGATTAAATTTTCAGATTTCTATTGACAGTTTTAGACGCAACTTTGATAATCTGTGTAATTCGGAGATTTTTCAATTCACATTATTTCGTATCGTTCATTTATCTTCAAAATCCTAACATAAAATTGCTATTTAAAAAAAAATATTGTCTAAAAAACACAACTATAAAAGTGAATAGTAACATCAAAAATCACTCATACTTATTATTCATTCTTATTACTCTATGTTTTTTGATAAAAGACACTAAACTTCCTCTTTCGAACATGTTAAGTATTTTTCTAGTTGATCTTCAAATAAAGTTATAAATTTAAACATTTACCAATAAAATATTAAAAGGGAAAGAAAGAAATGTACCTAACTTGAATATTCGATTAATTGAGTAATGAAATAAATGAAGCGGAAAACAAAATTGCGCTGAGTTTGGTGAGCAGAATCCTTATGAAGAAAAATGCTAACATACTTATAATTCCTTCCACCCTTTTTTTTCTCGTCGACTGTACGATACTATTTATTACATTTATGCATAACATAACATAGCAGATGGCGCCAGTTGGGTAAGCTTATAAATAATAACTCATAAACCTTTCCTGATAGAAAGAACCAAAACCTCATTTGGATAGCAGTTCGTATTAAATTTTACCTCAAATCTATTGTTTACTTTCATCACTAGTTGGAGGTATAATAGCAAATTATCAGTTAAAATAACGGCACAAATATATTTATATATGAGTCAACTACTTAACAAATAGATCAAACAGGTCAAGGAAGTAGCTGCAATCAACAACCACCAAAAATGCTCCCTTCTTATGTGCAATGATTTGCTTGCTACAGAACAACAAAAAACAACATACATCGGTCAGATATTTGCATTTAACATACACAGATGCCAGTATTCACAAATACGAACCCATACGGACTCATGTATATATGTGTATACATACACACAAACACATGCACCCGTATACATGTACATTCATGAAAAATGCGCAGGATTGTGTGTATCAGGAAATTATTGCACCTGCAATGCTTTTTGGGGTTACCACGCTATCCAGCACCACTTACTTATTTATTGCTGTTTTTACTAACAATAATAAAAACCATTAGGATATGGGGACAAAAGGTCTAGCAATTAAATATCGTAAATTGGAAGGTGGATCTAATTTAAGTCTAAGTTTTAAGTTATTGCTTTTCAATGCTTGAAATCGAATCTTTTGAATGTAATAATTACACATTATTTTTAGTTTGAAACTTATTTCTTTTATCAAAATGACTAAAGAAGTATTGCTATGGTTTGTATTTTTTGTTTCTGTGTAATATGAGGAAATTTCAAATTTCGCCTCCAATAGTAAGCTTCAACCTAAGGAACTTTAACCTGCTTGTAATGACTCAAAAAAACACTTTCAAATTCAATGACATTATTCTCATAATAGTTTTGAATGTAAATTTGGTTACAATAACTGATCCCTGCATTGACTTAAGAAAAGATTGATTTGTAGAAATGATTAGTAGTTTCATCGCGGCAGCAGATCGATAGTAATTTTATGAATACGCTTGCGATCACTGGAGCAGATGATCAGTCATATCAGCAATGAATCATCCTATATATACTTTTATCCAGACACTATTTATGTCTTTGATGTATAAGAATAAAGTTTTAAAATTTGTCACACCGCTTCTTAAAATTTGAAAATTGTGAATATTTCTTTTTACATGAATTTAAGGAAATTTTTTTACAAGTAGGAAAAAATATGATTGAAAAAAAGATCAAAATGACAGCTGCTAATGGAAACTACAAAAGATGAAGAAATTAAGCAAAATTTTTCATATTACTTGGAGACAAACAGTGTGAATCAGAGTAAAATGACGTGTGATTATTTTGTGAATGAATTGCCAATGAAAGAAAGTAAGCAGCTTGACTTGTATCTAAAAGGAAGCGGTGTGACACAAACAGATTCTTACAATCATAGAAATGAATTCCTTTTGAAGATGCTAAACGATAATAAATCATTGTTGCAAAGCTTTACACTTGAGTGCAATCGTTGAAAGCAATAGTTTACTCTAATGTTGTTGTCATTGCTCCCTTCCAAGTTTTCTACCGATGAAATACTCTCAGAAGTATGCTTTACACATAAGCAAATCTTCCTAGCAAATTGGCTACTTGATAATAATAAGAAAGTGATGACAGTTAAGTTAAAAACTGAATCTGCGTGTGAAACTTGAGGCAAACAATAAGATAATCTTGAAAGTAAGTGAAAAATGAGATATGAATAACATGTTTTTATACTTTAGAATTAAAATTTTTTAAAACTTGTTTTGTAAATTGAATATGTAAACAGTAAGCTGAAAAGGTATTAATTTTTTGAAGTGAGTAAAAAAATAAACATTGAGTTAGAAAAAAGATCAAATATACAAAATTTAAAGGCTGTTCTCACAACTTAATTATACTTCTTGAGGAAAAAAATCTTGAAATTCATTAAGAGATAATCAACTAACCACATGGTGTGAATAGAAAAGAGTCGAATAAAATTAGCTATGCAAAGCCAAATTAATACTTTTCATATTTAATTATCACAATTGTGACCGAACAATAGATTTTCGCTATTTTGATACTTTGATTGCTGGACTGTTTAAAACTGCTTTATGCTTAAAATGTCCTATATGTTAACTACAATATGTACAAATCTCTTCACTTTTTGGCGAACTATTTGCGACTTTATCAGTTTAGCTTGACGTACGACTAATATCATACGTTTTTTCTAAAATAATTGAAGACGCTTTTACCTTTATTAGCTTTGTCAGATAAATAAATTAAAATTATGATTTTATGAAACCATTCTCCAACAATTTTTCGTTTTAAACATGAAAATTAATTGAAATGCGCACGAAAATCTATATTATACGTTCTTTGCTCTAATATATTGTCATCCATAAACATAGTAATGACTGTTTCTAATGTATGAAGTAACAAAAAAGTCCAGTGTTTCTCTATTTTCTATTATAAAAACTTGTAAGAAACATAATTTTTATCGGTCATTAGTCGCAAAAAAGATGACAAACTTACTTAGTTACTTCTCAAAGATTTATGGTTGTGGAGCTGTTGTTATCAGTTCCCCGTGCAGAAATGGTACTTGTAAGTGATGCATGAAATCAGTTAAAGGATAACTGCTATAAGATTTCTAATGTCCACTCTGAAATGCAGATACACGTGCAGGAAAATAGGATATCCAGTAATAAGATATAATAAGCTGAAGAATCGTTTAGCAATTAATCGTTCTTGCAGCGTTTGTAAAATAACTATCCTGAAATGAAGCTTCAGTTCGGCACTAAACCTTTTACGTTTTTCACGTGAAGAAAGCGATAATAAATATTGAATTCATAATGCCAAATGCATAATTCTCTTCTTAATATAATACTTATTCAAACAATCATTATTAGAATGATGTCAAGCAGAATAATGCGGCGAAAATTAGGAATGAATTATTATTTTATTTTCATATTTCGCGCCATTTAGAATTCATTTTCATCCTATGTATTTTTGTGCTTTCATTTTCCTTATTACGCTCCTTTACTTGACTATTCATTGTTTCACAAAGCACTTTCATTTAGCATATGACAAGTGCAATTTAAGTACAACCTTGAAGATTATATGGCAGAAAGCTTAAACATTGTCTCATTTTAGTGAACGGTTCATTTTTAGTTAACACTTTTACGTCAATAACTTTTTTTATTAAAAAAATATCAAATAAAATATTAAATGTGAGAAAAGCTTTTTGGTTTACTTTTCGTACTGTTTTTACTAAAGCTAATTGAAGCTAAATGATTTGAATTAATAATAATAATCAAATGGAAGGCATCAAGAAATTGTACTGGGAATAAAAGAAACTTAAAACAATTACTTAGGAAAAAAGTTATCTTGAATTTATTTTAGTCCAACCCAACTGACTACTTTCATAGTTTTGGTATTTTAACTTTTTAACTTTAAGAGTTTA